TATATATGATATGTACACATACATAAATGTATAAAAGAATTGCTGCAAATCTACATATATGCATTATATGTTATACTGTCAAAAACTTCATTGTTATATACTTATTACAACAATATAAAAAGCTAATGTGTCTTATATTTTTTTATCCACAATTATGTAAATATATTTTTTCGTATTGATTTTAACTCAGATTTAAATTATTATAAATTATATTTTAATTATAAAATATATGAAGTAATAGATATTTGTATATATATATTTTTTTTAAATATGATAATTTTTAAATTATATAATATATAAATGAAAAGTATACAGAAAAGGTCCCATGGTGTAATGGTTAGCACTCTGGACTCTGAATCCAGCGATCCGAGTTCAAATCTCGGTGGGACCTTCTTCGATGTTATTTTGCTATCATAATAAATTCAAATAAGCTTTTTGTCAAGAAATTCGCTATAATAAATATAAACTATGTAAATTTTATCATTCAAAATAAAAAAAAACTGATATTAAAATTAAGAAAATAAAATAATATAAGTATTAAGAGTGGGGTTATTTATCAATAACATAGAACAGTCCTAAACTAAATATAATATAGATATAAAATTCAATACATGTTTATATAATATTCTATGCATAATTGTTCTTTATATTACTATAATATAAAATAAAATGATAAACCATCACTGAACATTTGATATTAAAATAATAATAAATTCTTATTAAAACTAATGCTTAAAAAAAATAATATTAATATTTTGACAAACTATTATATTAATATTTTAAATGAGTTTTAAATTCTAAAAGATTAGATGTTTTATAAATTTTATAATATTTATATAATTATTAATTTTGATAATATTGATTCATGAATCATAAATGAGAAATAAGATAAATTTATCATTTAATGAAACTTTGTTTCATCTTCTGAAATACCGATCGTGCAAATACCGATCTATCTTCTCAGATAGAGCTGGTGATCAATTCTCGTTCTATCTTCATTCTTTTTCTATTATTTGCAATCTTTGTCTATATGCGTTTTATTTTCAACAATCTAGAGATGGCGCTGATTTCTATATTTTTATTCTATTTCTATCTTTTTCTCATTATGGTCTTCTTGTCTTTATTTATTCTTAGCACGTGATTATTTACGAGGTACAGAATATCAATTGACATTTTCTTAATTTCTCTTTTAAAATTACAATGTATCTGAATCTTTAATGTAAAATTACTATTCTAATAATTTATTTCATATTAGTTTATGTAAATATAATCATGTATGAAATACAATATTTCATATATGCTTACAAAATATTCTATAATGGAATATTTGTTCCATTTTTTTTTTTTGAAATTTAATTTTATTCTAAGCTCAAGCTTAAGAATAATATATATAAAATAACAAATGAGTCCTTTTTTTCTCATGTTGGGAAAAGAAATATATATTGAATGTATTAGAATATATTAGAATATATTAGATTTATTCTGTATCATATCTGAACTCATCATTTTAAATTATATAGAACAATAAAATTACTAATTTTTTTAAAATCAGAATTTCAATTCACATAACAAAAAGTTTCATAAGATGTTAAATCTATGATATAACACGTTTATGGTAGTAGACTTAATAAGCAAACAAGATTTGAAAAATCTAATTCATATATGGATAAATATTATTAGTTAAAATATGGAAATTTCATTAACAAATGAAAACAATAATTGTAAAAAAAATCCAATTGTGTTTTTAGATATAGCAATTGAATCTGAAAAAGGTAGGGTTATAATCATAAAAATAAACAAGTCAATTTTTAATGTATATTAATATTCTTTTTTTATATTTTATTTAATTTGAATTTAAAAATAATTAATGTAATACAGTTGGAAGAGTTGTGATAGAACTTTTTAAGGATGTTGTACCTCGAACAGCAGAAAATTTTCGTGCTTTGTGTACTGGAGAAAAAGGTATTGGAATTAATGGTAAAAAGTTACATTATAAAGGATCAACATTTCATAAAGGTATAATAAAAATAATATTTTCTAAAAATGATATAAAAAGATTAATATTTAATGAAGAAGTTTTGTATGGTTTAGTATTATCACAGGTTATGATCCAAGGTGGAGATATAATAAATTTTAATGGAACAAGCGGAGAAAGTATATATGGAATAAAATTTGAAGATGAACATTTTGGGCTCACTCATTCATCAGGAGGATTACTAAGCATGGTAAATGAAGGTTATCCAAATAGCAATAGTTCTCAGTTTATAATTACTATTTCAGCTACTTCACATTTGGATAATACCAATGTAGTATTTGGTAAAGTTTTAAAAGGAATGGGTGTTGTATTAGAAGTATCTCAAATTAAAACAGTTAATGATATACCAGTTGAGGTAAACAAATATTTTAATTTTTTGTATTTGAATTTAATTATTAATTCCATGAATATTTTTTATTATAGAAAATATATATAATTGATTGTGGTGAATTAAAAGGAGATCAAAATTGGGGTATGGAAGAAAATGATGGTACAGAAGATGTATTTACTCCTTGGCCAGAAGATTGGAATTATTCTAGACATATTAAACAACTTGATGTAAGAACCTTTATTATATATATTTCTGGAAAAGAATTATTTTTGTAATTATTTTTCACATTTATGGATATTTATAGTACAAATATATGATGGAAGTTATTAAGAAGATAAAAGATTCAGGAAATTATTATTTCTTACGAAAAAATTATGTAGATGCAGGCAGAAAATATAAAAAAGCATTACGATATTACAAGTGGATGATAAAGACAATAGACATATCTGATTCTAATGAATTAATAATGAATATTAAAGTAACCCTATTACTTAATCTTGCTGCTGTTAAATTGAAAGAAAAGGATTATCGTGAAGCTTTAAAGCTTTGTTCAAAGGTAAAATATAATTGAATATAAGTTTAGAGAGTAAGAATATTTTGAAGTATCTAATAACAATTTTATATTTAGGTTTTACAATTGGAGAAAAACAATAGTAAAGCTTTATTTCGGAGAAGTCAGGCACATATGGGGTTAAATGAATATGATTTAGGTTTAGCAGATTTAAAACAAGCATTATTAGAATCTCCTAATAATAAAGATATTTTATTAGAGATTGATAAAGTTAAAAGAGTTATGAATTCATACCTAGTAATTGAAAAAGCTTCTTGTCAAAGAATGTTTAAATGAAAATATTTTTTATTTAGTATTTTATAAAATAAAATTGTGTAAATATATTTTTTATCTATATTTTAAATTAAAAATAATAAAAGTAAAATCATTTTTATATATTAATGTTTTTTTTAAAAAAACATTAATAAAATAAAAAAACATTGTAAAGTAATTGTATTTTAGCTAAAATTATTAAAAAAAATTGTACATAAAAAAAAATATCTTAAATAAATACCGATATTCATTTTTATTTTTTTGATAAATATCATTTATTTTCATTTAAGCATTTTTATTATTCAATAACAATCTTCATGTACAATGTACAAGAAGAAGTAAAAGCATTATAATTGTGTGTTGAAAATATATTGCTGTGAATATTGTTCTGTTAAAAATATATTTTGTATATATTTTGTTAAAAGTTATTAAGTATAAAAGGAACATGTGAAGCATGCTTATATCACATTAAATATCCATTTTGTATAGTAAACTTTGTTGTTATAAAAATTTAATTATATTTGAATAATTATTTTTTTATCATAATTTAAAAAAATGCATTCCAATATAAAATTTTAGGATATTATAATGGAGGGAACAGACTAAATAGATCATGTACAGAAATCAATTATATAAAAGAGTAAATATTATTACAAACATCTATTCATGTGTACGACTTATTTATTTAACATTTATATTAAGTTCTTAACAATTCTGAGCATTGTGAATGTCTTATGTGACGTAGTCACCCAAAATAAATTTTAAGACAGTTTTAGTAAGAGCTCACATATAGTTTCTTTCATTGTAATAATATTCTTACAATATGATTTATTTTATGGAAATGTTTTTAATAATAAAACTTAATTAATATACATATAAACAAATTTTTGTAGCGTCCTTTGTAATAAACAAAAACTCATTTTTTAACAATTAATTCATTTTCGTTGAAAGATTTTATTTGTTTTAGTAACACTGTATATCTATGTAACAAGTTTTAGTTAATATCTACAGCAATTATATGTAGGAGTTTTTGTAGTGACTAGATTAAAAATGTTTTCATTATTACCTACATTTTAGAATAACATTGATTCTTTCTAGAATTTATACTTTTAAATAAATAAATAAATAAAAAAATAAATACATACAAAACAATAATTATCTAGATAATATTATCCAAGAAACTTCTTAGCAAAACTTAAAAATATTCTGCAATATTAAGGAATGTATCATATATCAAAATTCTTATTTGTGTGCTTATAAATATTTCAATCTGAGAATTGACGAATTTTGACATTGGAATTCATGACATTAAATACATAATTTCTCCTGTACAGTAATATTTTTGATATTTTAAAGAAGGGACAAAGCTTTTTGTAAGACATATAACATTCTTAATACATTTTGTACATCGATGAACTTTGCAAAAGCCAGATATGTGGACGGAAAAATTTCAAAATTGCTTTAACGACCACGATGTACATAATAAATTAACTTAATGAAATGATTGTTTAAAACTATGTCTTTGGTACTTTTTCTTTTTAAATGTATTCTATGATAATCTTTTGAACTTTGATGAGTTTGATTTTAAAATATTATAGATACAATATAATTAAAAGCATTAAATTTTGTTACCTGAATATAATTAAGACTAGTTTTTGAACTTATGTACAATGAGTATTTTAAGCTAAAAATGTATTAATGTCATTCATTCATACGTTAGATTATCCATTGAAATTTGTTGTTTGTTTCTTATTACTTTTGTTTAAGGCTTTTAACTTTACACCTTCATTCTTTTTGTTATTATTTTCTATATGTTTTCTCAGATTAATTCATTCATTCATACATTAGATTATTCATTAAAATTTATGTTTGTTTCTTATTATTTTTGTTCAAGGCTTTTAACTTTGCACCTTTATTCTTTTTCTTATTATTTTCTATATGCTTTTTCAGATTAAAGTTATTCCTTTTCAATTTCTTCTGAACTATTTTCCTTTTTCAAATTCATACAATTTTCTGTTGTAATTTCTGTTTCAATTAAATTGTGCAATTCTTTACATAATGTTTCTTCACAAACTTCACCATTTATAACAGCATTATCAATTACATCATATTCATTTTTTACATCATGTTCTACTATATCCTTGAAATCAGGTTCTATAATCTCTTCACAACTTTTAAACATATCAGGATGATCATTTGAATTTAACACTTCGGGATTTTCATTAGAGTTTAGAATATCAGTATTAACTTCATCATCTGTCGTATCAGTGGATTGAGATACTTTTTTTAAAACGCTATCGATCAAATTAGATGCAAAACTTTTATTTTCATTTCCTTCATGAATTGTTTGATGAATTGGTAATGTTTGTGGTCTATGTGGACGAGCATAGGGAAATAAATTTTCTTCACCTGCCGGAGTATGAACAGCTGAGATTTCTGTTTGAGTTGCAACACCATTATCAATAAGATTTGATTTCGATTGCATACTCGACATACATCGCTTAATTTCTGACATGGAATCTTGTAATTGTTGAACCTATATATATAGTAAATTTATAGAAATATATAAATATAGCAGATTTTTAATGATTTTTAAATTATTAATATTTTAAATATAATTATAAAAATATAATTGATATGTTACCTGACTATGCAATAAATTACATGTTTGTGTTAAATTAGTTACAACATCTACATTTTGTGCAATATTTTCATTGTCATTATTTGTAGAATCTCGATTAGGTTGAAGACTAACAACTTTTTTCCACAATGCATTAATTGCTTGCATTTGCAATAACTGTAGCTTATGTTCACTTTCTAAAGCAGTTCTAGTGGCTTCCATATCAGTAGTTAATTTCCTAAAAGATCAATAAATTATACAATATTTTGGGAAAGACATTAAATTGAATTAAAGAGAAAATGATCATACTGAATATACTTATTTGTTCTTATCATTTCAATAGTTTTCAATATAGTAGTTGCTTTTTTATTAAGATTTCTTGTATGATATCCTCTCCACATTCTTTGAATACATATTGCTGCTTTTTCAGCTTCATCTTGATCTATTTTAGAAATAAAAAATTACTTTACTCTAAAAAGTTATATTTTTACATTCATTAAAAAAAAGAAAAAAATAATTACCTTTATTGTCTTCTTGTCTTCGTTGAATAGCTCTATGTCGAATACTATCTAATTTTGCTTGACATACTTCGCTATCTTCATCACTACTTTGAGTAGCATTATCAGCATCACCATCTCCATTTTTTTTAATAATATTGCTTTTAACTTTATCATTTGTACTCTTTGGTCTTTGTATATTTCTGCCTAAATTTGGTGAATTTTTTGTATTTCGTTTGGCAGGCAATGTTTTGCTTTGAACATAATTATTAATTTTCACACTATGAGGACATTTATTACTAGTATTTGTAATAATAGGTTTAGCAATATTTGGTTTTCCAGCAGTACAATTTGTTGCCGAATTACTTTTTACAAGTGCATTTGCTTTAATAGAAGTTAGATTTGTTTTTGCCATTGGATTTACTGTATTTATTATGGGAATTGCTTTGCTGTCTCCATCACAAGTAGATTTGTTTGGCACTGTAATTTGACATGGTGATGTTAATTTACTTGGTGGAGTTTTTGCTAAAACTCGAGAAAGACCAGACGGTGGACGAAAATCTGGACTCATTAAAGATTCTGGAACTGGTACTAGTTTTGTTGCAGCTTGTAAAGGACTTGATGTTTCTGCAAATCAAGTTAATGTAAGTTTATTTAAAAAATACAAATACAAATGCTAATAATTGATAACATTTATTACATACCTTCTGTATCAACAGAATTTAATACTTTATTGTTTAAAGTACTGCAAAGCATATTTGGATCCAAACTTTGAGTCATTAAGGATTCCTGATCTTCAGGTAATAATGTATGGCATGAAGAAACTATAGCATCAGTATGACAGCTAGATACCATTCTATCTGGTGATCTTATTCTTAATGAATTTCTTGATGAACCTAATTAAATATCATCTATTTTTATATTTATAAGTTTTTAATTTTATTAATTATTATATATTTAATTGTATTTATATATTTATTACTAAGGCAGAAGCATGCAAATAATTAATAATTTAACTATGAGTAAATAAGATAAAAATTGTGAACTATGTGAAATATATTTCCAAATCGTCAAATACTAATATGCTAAACAAATTTTCTAATTAGCATTATTATCATAACATTGCAATTTTTCATTCTCCAAAGTCATTTGCGCTATAAGCTTAAAAACGTAATTATATAAAAATGTACTATATACTATAGGCATAGAAGAGATAAACATATGCATTAATCCAAGATAAAATTGTTTCAAAATGTACTATATTATATTTTTATTATTACTTAATTCTAAGTTTTAAATTATAAATAATATTTATCTTAGATTTTTACACATGCTTATAATGCAATTGTCGTGTATGATTAATTTTCATTTTGACTTTGGATACCTTTACAAGGTGAATGGCACACACAGTATTTTGCTTCATAAAATTTTGGCGATTGTAAGCATTTATCTTCATAGTATGTCAACATTGGTGCAACTAGAGAAAATACATTATAACTAGAATATATAAATGCATGACGACTGGAAAGTGTACATCACTACTAGTCCACGTTTTATAATTAATAAGAAAACTTTAAACAAATTTTTATTGTATTCACAATAATAATAAATAAAATCAAGGATTAATATTAACTCACTGGCACGTCTAGGAGAACCTGTCCTGTTATGACTAAGTCTACGCCTAGTGGCTGGAGAAGGACTCATTCCGACGCTACTTAAGCTGTGCACACTTCCAGTATCACTTTGTTGATTTAATTGTTGTTGGTGATGTTGTGCTTTACTTAAAATCAGCCTTAGCTTTCTGTCTGTTTCATTTTCTAGAGATTCGCCAGATAGTGGGCAAACTGATGCTAAATACTGTGCAAGTAGTGCATGTTCGCCAACACGAAATTGTCTACCACGTCCCTGAGAATATAGCCACTCTGCTTTTAAACTGAGTGACCATAATTTCAAATAAATTTTAATTTTTTGAACTAAATAAAATTCTGTATACTTAAATATGTAATAATATAATTATATATCATGACTAATTAAATCTAAAAAGACACCTACCTTTCAATAGGATCAACAGGATAGCCATCAATTGATTTCAAGCTCATACACCAATTGATAACAAAAGGTCGATAATCAAAACCACTATAAGCTATTTGTTAAGAAACTATAGCTGTAAATCTACAGTTATAAATATTTTTTATACTTAGAGCTCTCTACAAGCATATTTGATAGATAAAAAATAACTCTATAAGATAACATCCAGAATAATGAAAATGTTATAAATATTTCTGCTATTTAATCTGATTTCTAAAATCTAAATTAACATTATTAACATAAATTATATAATTACATATAAAAAGGATACGTACTATTACCTGTCATACTGACACATGGATTATTAGCTATTGAAAAATTTATTAAATTTTTTAAATTAGCTAAATGTGACATTTCATTTAAATCAGTAATATTATTATTTGCCAATGTAAATGTTTCTAAAGAAGTAGGTAAATAGCGTTCACATTGCCTTAATGTTATTATACGATTGTTATGTAGAAACAATTCCTAAAATATCATTAATTTTATTAGAATTAAGATTAAAGATAATATATTTTATTATTATATTATATTATATTATTATAATATTATATAATATTATATATTCAATATAATTGAAAAAAAAACAAATTTTAAATTTTAATATTTATAATTACTTTTAAGTTTCGTAGATAAGATATGTCTGAGATATGACTGATACTATTTTCAGACAAGTCCAAATGCTCCAACTTAGTATTTGTATGCAAATGTTCAATAGACTAATAGATTAATATAATGTTATAAAGATTGAATAATTTATAATATCACATTAAATATATTAAAAACTTATATTTATACCTTTATGTTATTACCAGCTAAACAAAGTGTATGTAAATTTATCATATCCTTTATACCTTCTATGGTTAAAATACCATTATTTGCTAGATTAAGAGTTACAAGATTATGTAACTTCGATACTCCATACATACGTAGCAATTGATTCCTTACTATTGATAGCTGAAATAATTTAATTATAAAAATTTTAATTGATCAATTCAACATATTAAAAGTAATAATTAATATTTACATGATATATCATAAAAATAATAAATATATATAATATATATACATAAATTTTATGTCATATATGCTATCATAAATATATTACCTTGGTAATTCTATGATAAGAATCAAGATTATCAAGACGCTGAAGTTCATTATCGTCAATGATCAATGTGCTAATATCTGCATCAGATGGACAACGAGGAAGCTTCTTTAGACCTTGACCACTTAGATCGAGTGTATCGCATACTAAGGATTCTGTATAAGTTAAGTTAATACAGTGTTTCACTATTATTAATTTAAATAAACACATAAATATCTAAACATAAAATAACAGAAAATGTCAAAAAGCAAGTATAAGAACGCAATAAAATTGTAGCATTCTTATATATATATATATATATATAATTAAATTTACAAAACTTGTAAAAAATCAAAATATTTTAGAAATATCTAAATTGTTTTTAAGAAGACAATTAGTATAAGAATTGTATAATATAAATATTAAATTTTTGCTAACCCGTCGAAGCCATGATGAACACAATAAATTGGTAGACGCTATGAAGATGTCGTCGTAATCACTATAGTAAATACTTAAAAAATAAGGGAATTTTATATTTTAAAATATTCACTTTTCTCTTTATTTTTGTATAAAAATATAAGAAAAATGAGATAATACGTAATATCATACATTTTTCTAATTACATTTATTTCTATTAATAATATTTTCTCACAATAGATTTAAATTGATATAATTAATTTTTATTTAAATAAAAAAATGTTATATAATTAACATTATAATAACATTATATTTATAATATAATATATAAATTTTCTAACTATAATAAACAAATTATATAAATGAATGATTTTAAAATTCAAAAAAATGTTAATATGGTGATTTAAAAATTCTATATACTTTTGATACATAAGTTCACAAATTAAATTAAAATTACTAGATCATTAAACATTCTTATTCATTTTTTGAAATATAATTTATAAATAACAGGTAAGATTTTATGTATTATAATTAATTAATAACATATCTTTTATATGTATCGTAATATTAAAGTCACGTGTTAACTTTGTTTTTTGTGCGAAATTATAAAATTGTAAAAGAATTAAATTAATAATGAAACGTTATTTAATTAATATATATAATGATCACAAATATACTATTATAAATCGCAATATTAGTGAAGTTGCAGGCAAGCAATTTACAAAAAAAATTATTAATATGAGAAAATATAAGTCCCTTGTAACCTCAAAGAAAAATACTAATTCATATAATAAAAATTATAAAAACGTTAATAATAAAGATTATATTCTTAATACATCACTTACATCAAATGAAACTCAAATAAATGACAAATGCAAAATTTTATTTGATATATCTAAAAATTATGAACAATGTTTTTTGTCACCAATGAATAATAATTACAAAAATGCTCTAATAGAATATAAAGATATACAAACATTAAAAAATAAAAAAGAAGAAATTTGTAATGAAAGAATTAATGAAAGCGATGTAAGAATTAATGAAATTAATATACAAATGCTTCCAAAATCATTACATAAACAGATATTTAAAAATTCTGAAAAACAACAAAAAATATCAAAAGAAGAAATACAATCTATAAAAAATGATTTGCATTTATATGGAATAAAAACAGAAGATGCAACTAGACTTCCTAAGGTTGATATTAAAATACCTCCTTTAGAAGGAGATGATATTGAACAACATTTTTATAATATTGGAAAAGCACAAATTAAACCTTATATAAAGCTTATAAAAAATATTATGAAAAATATACCTCAAATGCCAAATCAATGGATATTAAATGAAGGATGGACAAGATATACTGTTGATAACATACAAAAAGTAGATTATCCTTTAGAAGATGCTATTATTTTTGATGTAGAAGTTTGTATTAAAGAAGGTTTATTACCAACATTAGCAACTGCAGTAAGTGATAAAGCATGGTATGGTTGGGTATCAAAGTCTCTAGTTGATGGTATGAGTAGAAATTTTGAAGGAAAACAATATACTATGGATGAGTTAATACCGATGGAAAGTATAGTTACTGAACATGGTGAAAAATTAACTTCTTTTCATAAAAAACCAAAAATTATAGTTGGTCATAATGTATCATTTGATAGAAGTAAAATTAAAGAGCAATATTGGTTGAAACAAACAGGATTAAGATTTATTGATACAATGTCACTTCATATATGTGTTGGTGGAATTAACAGTTATCAGAGATCTATTTTAAATTCTACAAAGGATATAAAAGAAAAATCTAATTTAGAGATGCGAACTTCATTAAACAGTTTAGCAGATGTTCACAAATTTTATTGTGGTTCTGAAATAAGTAAAAACGTCAGAGAAGTATTTATGAATGGAACTTTGAAAGACATTAAAGATGATTTTAATTCTTTGATGATTTATTGTGCAAATGATGTAATTGCAACTCATAATATTTTATGTAAATTATTTCCTATTTTTGAAGAAAGATTTCCTCATCCTGTTACTTTAGCAGGAATGTTAGAGCTTGGTACTGCATATCTGCCAATAAATTCTAATTGGAAAAAATATTTAAGTGAATCAGAGACTACATTTGAAGATTTAAATTATGAAACTAAAATTATTCTTACTAAAAGAGCTAATGCTGTTTGTAAACTTTTGCATAATGAAAAATATAAAGAAGATTTATGGATGTGGAATGAAGACTGGAGTACACAAATGCTTAAAGTAAAAGCACAGTATTCAGGAAAGAATTTAAAAAAAATATCTCAAATACAAAATCCAAAAAGAAAAAAAGAAACAAAAACTCAAAGTTATTTAACAGATGATGAAGATGAAGAAGATCCTTTGGAAAAAGAATTTGCTTATTTGACAAAGACAAGAAAATTTTTACCTTCAAAATTACCACATATGCCAGGATATCCTGCTTGGTATCGAAAACTTTGTTTTAAAATAAATGATGAAAATTGGTCTCCAGGCCCTCAAAATATAAGCATTTCTAAACAAATTGTTCCAAAACTTTTAAATTTGACATGGGAGAATTTTCCATTATATTATATAAAAGATAAAGGTTGGGGTATTTTAGTTCCTCATACTAATGATTTAAATATTGAAACTAAAATACCTTTAAAACAGCTTTTAGCTCAGTGTGCTTTACCTAAAAAAGAATATTTATCAGATGAAATATACACAATGTCAACAATGAATAAAGAGTTGGAAAATGATCTACATAAAACTGAATTTTGGTATAACAAAAAGAAAAATCCTAATATTCAATTAACTAATATTTATAAAGGCAGTGCACATTGGTGCGATACTAATATAGATAACTGCTGTTACTTTTTTAAATTGCCTCATAAAGATGGGAAAAATTGTAAAGTTGGTAATCCTTTGGGTAGACATTTTCTGAATAAATTTTCGGAAAACGTATTGGCTAGTTCAGATACCGGTGCTGCGAAAATATTGAAAATAGCTAGAATGGTATCATATTGGAGAAATAATAGGGATAGAATTATGTCACAGTTTACAATATGGTTTGAGAAATCATATTTATCATATGGTATTAGAAGTTCTAAAAAATCAATGTGTCATGGAGCAATTTTACCTTTAGTAGCTGTATCTGGGACATTAACTAGGCGAGCAGTAGAGCCTACATGGATGACTGCATCTAATTCTGATACTGAACGTGTCGGTTCTGAATTGCGAGCAATGATTCAAGCACCACCAGGATATAATATTGTTGGCGCCGATGTTGATAGTCAAGAATTGTGGATTTCGTCCATAATAGGTGATGCTTATTACAAAAAAATTCATGGAGCTACACCATTTGGGTGGATGACATTAATTGGTACTAAAGCTAATGAAACTGATATGCATAGTGTTACTGCTAAAGCAATTGGAATTTCTAGAAATCAAGCTAAAATTATCAATTACGCCAGAATTTATGGTGCTGGCCAAAAATTTGCCGAGACACTCTTGAAACAATTTAATCCGTCCATGACGGATAGCGAAGCTTCATCGAAATCTCGAAAAATGTTTACTATGACAAAAGGAAAAAAGATTTATAAATTAAAACCTGAATATATTGATAAATATAACGATAAATGTTATTCATCATACGAAGCATTTAAATTATCACAATTACACGGTAAAATGATATCAGAAATGTTTGAGAAAAGTAAATGGATTGGTGGTTCAGAATCTGCAATGTTTAATAGATTGGAAGAAATCGCGTGTAATCATCATCCTGTTACACCTTTTTTGAATTCTAGATTAACTGCGGCGTTAGAAAGTGATGAGACAACAAATGATGAGAAATTTTTACCTACAAAAATAAATTGGGTAGTGCAGAGTGGAGCAGTCGATTTTTTACATTTAATGCTAGTTTCAATGAAATGGCTTATGAAAGACCACGCCAGATTTTGTTTATCATTTCATGATGAAGTGCGCTATTTGGTGCCGTCAAAATATAAATACAATGCAGCGCTTGCCATGCATATTACTAATCTTTTAACTCGATCATTTTGTGCATCGAGATTGGGAATGAATGATCTTCCGATGTCAGTAGCATTTTTTACTTCTGTAGAAGTAGATACGGTTTTACGTAAAGAACCTGAAAATGATTGTATTACGCCATCGAATCCTCATGGTTTAAAAAATGAGTATGAAATTCTTCCAGGAGAAAGCTTGGACATATGGTCCGCTATTAATAAATCTAAAGGTTCCTTAGGATCGTGGCATACTGTAAAACAATAAAAAATTGAATTTAATTAATAATATGAGAAATAAAAACAAATATTATAATAAAATTGATATAAAATGTAAAAGTATTTATTAAATATGTTCATTGAAAATCATTGAATAATATTAAAAAATAATGATGATAAAAAAAAATGATAAAATTTGTTTTAAAATATAATGTGTATAGAATTTTTGTTATATTTGATTTTACAGATTAAAATGTCCAAAGCAACCAAACGGAAGTATGTTACTAAAGAAATCGAAGACTTAAGTATTCCTACAGAATCACAATCAATAGTTCGAATTGTAAAATCATGCGGTAATAATCTTCATGAAGTTATTAATCCAGCTGGATTTCAATATCTCGTATCTATGCCAGTAAAATTTAGGCAAAATATTTGGATAAAACGAGGAGATTTTGTATTGGTAGAACCAATTCCAGAAGGGGACAAAGTGAAAGCTGAAATTGTTAAGATATTAACACGAGTATGCATAATTGCAAATATATTTTTATGTGAATGTAATTTTTTAAAAATAAAACTTATTTATTAGGAACATAAAAAATGGTATCGAGAACAGAACTGTTGGCCCCAGGAATTTGATGAAATTTCAAATTCGAAGCAAAAAGCAATTAAGGAAGATAATGATAACGAAGAAGATGATCTTTTTGTAAATAAAAATAGATTATTACAAAATAGGATAGATAATACCAGTAATACAAGTTCTGAAGAATCCGATTCTTGTTAATGTTTTTGTAATGATATTATAAGTAATAAAGTATATATATTTATATATGAAAGCGATAAAACTGTCTATAAAAAAATAAAATAAATATTTTTTAAAATTATATTTCTTTTGAAACTTGTTTACAAATTATTTTATTTCACTATAATAATAATAATAATAATTAAAAAAATATATATTTTATAATAAAAAAAAAATTATATTTATATATTTTAACGAAGTCAAATGTTATCGAAGAAATTATCGCTGCATAGTCTGGTTAATCTTATCGATTAATATGAATTTTTGCAATACGATACATAATGTACCTTTTGTCAATTATGTTTTATTATAAAATGAAAAATTCTATTTATTTTTAACATAATGAAAATTTCATCTTTTTAAAAGAATATTTGAAATAAAGATAATTTTTTTAAATAAAAAAGATTTTTTTAATAAATATTGTATTACAATAAATAAGTATTACAAACTAATATTTTTTAATATTCTTGTAAATTACATGAATCGTAAAATATATCATATCTCCCTGTTGCATTATAAATCGAAAATTCTTTTATATTTAATGAATCATAGTCATATAGATAAGGCAGTGATATAGTAATAAATATACTTATTTTATAATTAATTTTCATATTCATTTCATTCTATTTTGTTTAAACTTTCTTTTGTAATTTATAAATGCTATTTGTTCATTAGATATAAATTTAATTTTATTGGAAACAAATTTATTAAGATATTCTAAACAATAGATTAAACTATTTATTAAAAATAAAAAAAATAGAGAAAAAAAATTTATTCTTTCAGATCTTTAATTTTATCTAATTAAATATACGAAATAATTTGGATTTCAAGATAGTTTGGAATGCAATAATTGAATGTGGAAAAAATCTTAAATCGAATAGAATATTTTAATGAAATATTATAGTGATTTTCTTATCGCAAAATCAAGAGATGAGATTATTACGACGAAAGGTGTCCGATCGTTAAGAATGTTGCGTTCACTCACACAGTACGATAGTCTGTTTTCGATAGTGATGATTGGCTGATTTACTTTCAATTTGTCTTCTCCTTTATTTGGATTATTTATTTTGATTTCTTTCTTGTGTTAATCTTTCTTGTGAAATCGATTTATGTACTGAAAGACATACTTATTACCGTGCATATTGTTTCTGAATTCTTTTTCTTTTCTTGTAATTCCACATTTACATGTTTTTATAAAATAATAAATAAAGTACATTACTGAAGTACATTATATTATATAAAAATCGTGGAATTTTGTGCAAGTGTTTTCTCTATTATAACATTATATAATTCGATAACTTGAAAATTTTTTTATTGTTTAATTTGTATATTGTGTATTTTTATTCGTGAAGAAATCCAAATATATCAGGACACTATGTCGGTATCTGAAAAAATAAAAATGAATGTATATGGTGGAACAAAAAATGATGGACTTAATGTTGTAAAAGTACATGAAATTCAATTTTCAAAATCAAAATGACAAATTGAACAACTTAATTTAGATGAAGTGAATGTCAAAAACAAATAACTTTCTACTATTTTATGTGAAGTGAAACAATTTCACGAAGGAATTTCTTCAATTTATCTTAAACTGGTGACTTATTAATGATTATAAAGATCGCAATTTGTTAATTCGGCATCAGATTATCAAGTTTTGAAACAGGATAGTGTGTTTGCCAGTGATAATAATTTTCGTGATCACAATTTATTCTTAGATTGTTATAGAAAGTTATTTTCTGTACGTAAATATAAATCATTTTTGATTTAAATATTCGGCCATCGATATTTTTTTAGCGAAAGATTTCATTTGATATAGAAGGAGAAAAATTTCATTGACAAACGTGAAAGTCATTATGGAAATGTCGGACGACGATTCTTATGATTTTTGGAAGAACTGGGACTTGAAGAATTTAACGGAAGCCGAATATTTGACCAAAGTACTTGGACCTAAATATTTATCTATGAGGATGGTCATACCGCTCACGATAATATATATGATAATTTTTATAACTGGTATTTTCGGGAACATCGTCACATGTATCGTAATCATAAAAAATTCTGCGATGCAAACGGCCACCAATTACTACTTGCTCAGTCTGGCTATATCTGACCTTATTCTACTTGTATTGGGTGAGTGGCGTTTATGTTTGCTCGTATTGATATGGTACCATGTCGATTTTCATTCTCCTCCTTCGTAAAAATAATTTATGAAGGAACAATATAAAGATAATGAACTTCGATAGACATTTAATAAAGATAAGCGAAAATACGCGATCCCTATATAAGTATTGATTTAATCAACGCGAAATATATAACCAAAATTAGATTTATGTTGATCCTTAAAACGATATTTATCCGATTATCGATTAAATTGTGCTAAAAAGACGGCATTTCAATTAAAATTAGTAGCATTGTACACAAAAGAGTGCAATATGTTAAGTAAGTAAATTTATGTTCAAGTAATTAACGGAGATTCTTTTTACAAATTAGACTATGATGTTTAGATTGAGATGTTTTATCTTTGTTGAAATTTGACGATAAAGGCTTTAAATTAATCTTCGTCTAATGTGTACATGAGCGATTGTTATCTACTCGATGGATTGTTTGCTGATCGTAACGTCGTTTTTATTTACGTCATTTTAGGAATTTGTTGGGGTAAAAATTGAAGACGCGCGAATGTTTGTTTCTTTGACGAAAAAATTTTTGACAAATTAAAAATAACTATGAACGTTTACTACACGTTTACAAATTTTAACTCTACATACTTGAATATTCGAAATTAAGATGAGGATAATGAGGCGATAAGAGCATCATTTGCATAACTATAATTAAATTTAAATACCGCGTGAAACATTGAATTTTTGGTCAAATCATGGAAAAATTATCGTGTAAATATGTATATTATGAGAATAATACTAAAAATAAAACTAATTTCAATATAATTTGAAAGATAGAATTATTATCAAATAAAATTGCGATAAAGTATACAATGCTTACACATTCGATATGATTGATATCGCGTTACCGATTTCATGAAATATTAAATATAATTCTATAGATATTATTTGTAATTAACATTTATTTGAAAAATATTTATTCCTTTACATTTAATATAATTCATTTTATTCGTACATCGAACTTTGACGTACATCGAACTTTGACGTACATCGAATTTTTCCATTATTAATATACAAAATCCGGAAATAAATCTTCATTTGATAATTCAAAACTTCAAATCGATAAGCAATTACTGATCTAAAAAATTAAAGAATAAACAAACAATTTTTTAAATTATACAGTAAATACTCAAGTCTCGACATAGAAGCTACAACTTCTTGTCTCTTTAATTTCAACGTGAATTGTGACGTCTATGTGTAAATTAGCTTTCAAGCTTAATCAGTTGTAAATCGAGAAAATAAGTTTGTGTATCATGAAGATATGTATGTTTCTCAATTGTTAGAATGATCATTGTTCTGATATAGATATTTGACGTCAATCCCGTGGTCATTGTAGAAATAAATTACAGATAAAAATATAATAATAAAAATATATTAACATGATCGAAATAAAATATCTTAATCTATCGATTGTTATCTGCAATTTATTATATCGTGCTTTATTTGATATTCGCTTTCAGGATTACCTAATGAACTGAGCCTGTTTTGGCAACAATATCCATGGGTTCTAGGAGTTAGTCTTTGCAAAATAAGAGCATACATATCGGAAATGTAAGCAATATATTTTTTAATGAATTAATTTAATAATATTTCTAAAATAAAAAATTATATCATTGATTTTTATTTAAAATTTCACTTAATGCTTAATAGGTCCTCTTATGTATCAGTCCTTACGATAGTAGCTTTCTCTATGGAAAGATATTTGGCTATTTGTCATCCGCTTCGTGTTTATACGATAAGCGGTCTCAAAAGACCGATACGTTTCATTTTAGCTGCTTGGTCGATTGCACTGATCTCTGCCATACCATTTGCAATTTATACGAAAGTCAACTTGGTCGAATATCCACCAGGTTAATTAAACGTTAATGCATCACTTTATTCATCATTTGTAAATATACATTCAATAAGTTTCAAAAATGTATAATTATATTTAGAATCAGGGAATTATTCGGCCGATTCCGCGATTTGCGCTATGCTTTTACCGTACATGCCTGATTTTCCTTTGTACGAGTTGAGTACTATTATATTCTTCTTGATACCAATGTTAATTATCTTGGTGGTGTATACTAGAATGGGTTTGAAAATCAGAAATAGTACGAACAATACTTTGAACTCTGTGGTACAAGGCTCTATTCACGGAGATTCGAGACAAATTCAATCTCGAAGATCCGTGATTAAAATGTTAAGTAAGACTTTATCTTGTATTTTTTTTTAATGTAACTTTTTTTTTCCTTTTAGAAAAAATATAAATCGTAATCGTTGTTTTAGGTGCCGTGGTTATTTTATTTTTTATTTGTTGGGCTCCTTTTCACACTCAACGATTACTCTACGTTTATGCGCAAGAATCTGATTATTATCCAGACTTGAACGAATGGTTGTATATTTTAAGCGGATGTCTTTATTATTTCAGTACAACTATAAATCCAATTTTATATAATTTGATGAGCATGAAGTATAGGAAGGCGTTTAAGCAAACAATTTGTTGTAAAACGAGGATAATAGCCAGAAGAAGTTGGGCCACGAGAGAGTCTCAAATGTGTAATAACAGTTCGAGCGACAAAGCACGAAATTCAAGCTTCAGATGTTCTATGAAGTAGTAACATTATTAATACAGTGACACAAAAAAGTTTTACAAATAATAGTAATTTCTGTATGTCATTTAATATATTTATGATTTTAGATATACTATTAATCAAGCGAAAGAAATGTTTCGATTTACTCCAAGTCAAGAAAATGGTGGCAGAGATAAAAACATGAAAGATAATGTTCCTCGTAAATCATATATACTGAAGAAGGAAGATTCTACATCGAGACCTCTTCTCAATCGAATGCATTCCGCACAAGAAAAATGGGAGAACAAAAATTTAGAATGTAAAATGAAAGACGAAAAATCCATGTCTACATCTAGCAGCATTTTGTAACTTAAATTGTATATTTTTAAATGTTAAATTATTGTATATAAAATAATGTTAAATTAAGTTAATTTTAAGTTAAGTATCCATTTTATTTATTTTCTGAAGATATATAATTGTATTTTTAAATTGATTTTTATTCGATTAATAATTAGTAAAAGTAGTTTTAATAGTAAATTGTGTAATGTATACAAGATAGACATAAATAAACAGTATTTTTTCGTCATGTTTTATAGCAACATTTTTATAAAACAGAAATTCTATAAGAAAGACGAATAAAAATCTCTTAGTCTAGAAGCGTGAGCAAAGAATGGCTTCCTATATCAAAGAATGTCGACATTATTAAATGTGTTTGTTAAAGACGAATCTTTTTCAGGAAATTAATTTAAAAATGTCTGGAGTCATGAGAAATATATGTCTTATAAAATTTTTTTAGTAATACAAGTACTTTTTTCTTCATTAAATTATTTTATTAAATATACCAAACATATTGAAAATGTTTTATTTATTAATATAAGCTAAATTGCAAATATATTCTCTTCATTTTATTTCAATTCCTCGTTTTTATTTATTTATTTTTCTTTTTTATTTATATTATTTATATATCAAAATCCATATTTTGAGAAAAAGTTAATGAATGAAATAAATATGAGAAAAATGTGAAAAATTTGTAATAAAATTCATAATAATATGACGAACATTATTTGAATATTTAAAAATAGTGCATTCTTAACGAAACTTTTCCAAGAATTGTTTAACCGAGAAACAGAATTTAATTAATTTCCAGAAAGTTTTAAATATTGATTGACAAGTTCAAAGTTTATAATGAATGTAGACGAAGAAAATATGATAAAGTTACGTCTGTATAAAGTTTATCATCATGAAAATTAAAGTTATGTTGCTATAAGATATCCATTTCTCGAGTTCACATATGATCAACGAAAAACTTTAAGTTTATGGTTTATTTAATGGAATTCCATATTTGCGGGAATGAAAATAATTGCAAAACTTTTGATTATCTTACGTAATTGATTTATTTCGGACAACTGTATTAGAAATTAATTCTAGTTCTAAAATTATATATATATATATTTTTTTTCTATTTTACAAGATGAAAAAATCCAAGCAAATTATCCGCAAAATAATATAGTATAGTATCCATTTATAATATTGTCTCTTTGTCTAATATTGTCTAAATTGATCTAGAAAATAATTCTTATCGATGAACAAATGAACGCGTCAGCAATTTCGTCTGTCCAAATTGTCAAAATGAATGGTATAACCTGAATTGAATTTTCTCTACAATATTCTGTCCACAATATTCCATCACAAAAGAATGTTAGAGATAATATCTGAAGAACATAAAAGTGGCAGTGCTCGAAAAGATAATGTTCGATTTGATAGAACATTTCTATTCTTTGATAAAATTGCTCATCTTTGTGATAGTCGAATGCTTTTTCTCGGTGTACACGTGTATTCTTCGGATAATTTTCATACAATTAACGGGAGAGAAATCATTGCAATGGGTAATATTATTTTCTTACGTAGTAGTATTAAATAACTTGTTAAAATTCATTCATATTCTCTAATGTGCGCGATTTTATTGATTTTCCTCTTTACTTTTCAGACTCAACGTTTTCTAATCTACTATTTATCATCTAAATACTTCCTTGTAAACTGAATAAGGACAAAAAGGAAACGTAATGCTATTATCTCGGTACACGGTAAGAAGACTTCAAAGGTAAAGCGCGAAATACGTGTCGTAAAGAAAATAGGAATTTGTTTCGTATTCTGTTTTCGTTTTTGTCCACGTTCATTCATTATCTAGTAAATTATTTCTCATTTTTTTTTATTATTTTTCCATTAATATAAAAAAAATTAAAAAATAATTATATTGTAATTTATTTCAATGTCAAACAATGTCATATATTTTTCAGTTCATTTTCTACATTTTTATTCTTGGCATGTTGACTTTAATCCTCGATTCGTGTGCTTCGCCAATAGAAAAACCTTTCAAATATGAAGATCGTTTCTTGCTCTGTCATTTTAATCAGATACATCTTCCGAAACATGCGACTGAAATTGCTAAATTTAACCGTGATAAAAAGAGAAAATACTTGTTGGTGAAATCTTTGACAAAAAAATCGAAAAAAAAATATGTAGTTCAGTTTTTTCTTGAAAATACCAATTCTGAATCTAATAATTAAATAAAGAAGATATCAAAGATTATTTTACTACATTTTATTGCGGAATTCTTTTGAATTACTGAAAGGATTATACAAATAAATGCAAATAAAAGTTAGAAACCTAAAGATAAGATACCTAAACCGATCCAAAAAAATAGAGATGGAATATTCATGAATAATTATAATACACAGAATAAAAATTTTAAAGACGTGAAACAAGATCGAAAAAGAAAAAACTTCTTGAAATCCGAAGACCGAACATAGAGGAATGTTTACGATTTATTGATTATATGAGAAAATATGACATTCTGTGTACAACATGAATCGAAATAAATTTATACTTTGATATTATGAAGATTGTTTTCAATATTGAACTATATAATTTAAGTGGGTAGTAAAGGTATATAACAATATCCTTTGATATTGTTTTCAACTTTAGGCAATATTAATTGCATGTATGATTTAAGATCATTCATAAGAACCCAAGTATAAACTTCTAACGACGAAGCTCTTAATGAGCTCATGCACAACTTGGAATTTTCCTCTTAAGGAGATCAAGTGATGCCAAATCTTCGCAATGTATTCGAGTAATAGCGTTTTCATTTATTTATTCTTTTGATGTAATCGAGCGAAATTAAATTTTCGAAATACATATATACTAGATTACACTTAGATTATAAGAAAATAAAATATTTAGAAGAAAATTTTTTCAATTTCTCGGTTTAAATTCAAATAAAAACCGCTTATCATCTTATCGGAAGATTTAATTTGTCTACGCGTTTAATTTTATATCTTTATTCTGGAATGCAAAAACATTGAGATGTATCTGCGAATAAATAAATTTTTGCAAGTAACAACTTGTAAAATATATAAAATGTATATGACCGTATAAAAATTTTTCTTGGTAATCAAAATTAGCGAGATATGTGATATTTTATTCGAGTTATGTGGAGGGTTCGTGTAGATTAAAGCGGAGGGTTGATTATGTTGGTGCGTGGTAGATGGGCGCGAGAAACTCAGGAGTGAGTCGCGAGACGTCACTTGTTCACGATCTGGCAAACGGTGCGCTTTTCAGATCATCCCTTGAATGGCGGTGGCGGTGTTATTATCGTAAAAATATTTCGTGATTTTTTTTTTCTAAACGTAATTAATTTTGACAAAGAATATGTTCGTTGATGATTGTTAATGACGAATGATCGTTTGTCGACAAACAATAAAGAGATTCGTATGAAACGAATAATTTATAAAAAAAGTTTATTTTCGAAATAATTTTCAAAGTGAGGAAGAAATTTTGATTGTTGTTATGTGACTTAAGACACCGGAAAGTAATCGATTTGGTATTGCAAACGGTGATAAAATTCATGAACAATGAACGTCTCGGAATATTCGTTTTATGAGAATATCAGCGACGAATTGAAATATTTGGAAAAAGTACGCGGCCCTAAGTATTTACCGCTAACGCTGATAGTGCCTATCACTCTCACGTACGTCGTCATCTTTGTAACCGGATTTGTTGGCAATATTATCACTTGCATCGTTATCTGGAGAAATCCGACCATGCAGACACCGACGAATTATTACCTGTTCAATTTGGCGGTATCCGATTTGCTGTTTCTAATACTGGGTAAGTTTGTTGATGCTCGTTATTCGTTTTTTTTATTTCAGTGATATCTTACTAATTAATATTGATCAATAAGAATGATTTAGTTATGAACGAGTTATCATAATTGCAAGTAGAATTTTATTTATTAAATTAATAGCATTAATATTAAAGTATTAATATTATACGATTTATAAATCTACAATCATTTCTAAAGGATACTTTTGACGATTTTGTGATATCGAAACATTAATCATTTATGATTTACGTGCAGTACTGTTGCACTTTCACGCACGTGTAACGTATTGAATTCGTTTTATTGATAAAAATTATATTCATGCATCACATTCGCACTAGAAATGAAAGTTTATATGAATAAAAAAAAAAAAAAGAAAATAAGAGTTAATGAGTGTTAATGAGAGTTAATTAAATTTTAAGAAAAGAATTTATTTTAAATAATTCATTATTTGTTGTAATATTTGATTTACTTCTTCCCATATGCAATAGATTAATAATTTCACTTAATACAAAATTTTACGCAGAATTATGAGATATCAGATAATATTTGCAGAATCGGTATGTATTAAACATTAATTGTTAGCTAATAAATTATCTTTCTTGTAATGAACAGTTTCGTATTACAATTTTATTTGTATCGGGTATTGGACTATGATTTCTGTGAATAAATTGTTTTGCATCGAAAATAATATTACAGTTAATTTATATTTATATATTACTGACTTCTGATTTTCTTCTGAAAACATTATTTTGTTTTATTTTTTCTTTTTTCGATTGATTCAAATAGTTTAACAAAATCTGATTTATTAATATAATCTTTGATTTATTAAATAATAAAAAAAATATATATATATATTAATATAGTTTGAAAGTTGAATTTCATAGATAAAATTGTAACAAGAAACATATCTGATCAGAGAATGTTTCTCATTTGAATTATTGAATCTTCTCTTTTTTTTACGTTTGCTTTATTAGATAAGAAATTCTATCTTTCTCTTTCAATCTAAGTTATTCTCAATTATTTGTAAATCAATCATGAAAAGAAATTGAACGAATAAACTCAATACGAACGATCTTCATCGCCACAATTCCATCGTCATTTTATCTTAATGAGATATGATAATTTCGGAGTGTATTAATCAAAAAAAAACATCAATTTCTATGAAAATGATTATAATACGCGTATGAGTACGAATTTTACGATTGATTTTCAGGTTTACCTTTTGAATTGAGCGTATTTTGGCAACAATATCCATGGCAATGGGGATTAGGAATATGCAAACTAAGAGCGTACGTCTCTGAAACGTGAGTCAACGTAATGAAAAATGAAAAATACAAGCAAATAACGCTAAAGAAAATAAAAAGATATGGAGTTTGCATAGAAATACAAGAATTTTCTTTTTTGAAGGTCCTCTTACGTGTCAATATTAACTATAGTGGCATTCTCAATAGAAAGATATTTGGCAATTTATCATCCTCTTCGTCATTATCAGAGCGGTCTGAAACGTGCTATACGATCTATCTTTGGTGCATGGCTGATAGCTTTAATTTTTGCTATACCGTTCGCAGCTTACATCGATATCAATTACATTGAATATCCACAAAGTGAGTTTCTTGAATTGTATAAAATTTCATTTTTTCTGGCTTTTTAATCATTATTTATATTAAAAAAAAAATTCTTTCTTCGTACATTTACATAATGAAAGTTGATACGAGAAATAATTCTCATTATACAATTTATATATACCATTAGATATATAGGTTAGAAATTTAAACAACATTTGTACAATTACAAATGATATTATATTAATATAATAAATAGAAATTCAAACAACAATAGCGAAATAAATGTATAAATGTCATTAATATTACAAATGATATTATATTAATATAATTTCCCATTAGGATTGGTATAATATCAGGATAGATATTTACTCAATCATGTGAACTATACAGTTTAGCCGAAAATTTAATCAATAATAAAAATTTATTGATTTAATAGTGAATGATCTGAAAAATCAGGAACAAATGATAGCAGGAAACGCGATTAGAAATATTTTTCGACATATTTTGATCATGTATATATATTTCACTCAATACGAATACTTTTTCACTGAACATTTTGCTTTGCTTTCATTTACAGACTCCAAACGAAATTCAGAGGAGTCCGCGATTTGTGCGATGCTGAAAGAAAACATGCCCGAATTTCCTCTTTATCAACTTAGCTGCATTCTCTTTTTCCTCATACCAATGGTGTTTATCGCGGTGCTTTATATTCGGATAGGATTACGAATACAAAGTGACAGCCTTGCGGAGAATGTCGAGGGATACGTTCATGGGGAAACGAAACAAGTCCAGTCACGAAAAACCATCACACGAATGCTGAGTAAATGATCAATCTTAAATAAATGTATAAATCATCCTGTCCTTTGTATCCATAAAATTTTAATGTGCTCGTAAATTACAACATTAGCCACATATATCTTTGCCGTGCGAGTAAATGAGAAACCAACTGATTTAACCATGACGACAGACATTATTCCACATAGATTATTATATCCTATCAAGGAACGTGTTTTAGAAATTGATGAGGAAACTGACGTTTGAACGTGGATGTCAAACTCTTTGAAATCATCACACCACGAGACAATTTTTACCTTGTCGATAATATGTGTAAAGGCTAAACATTTGAAAATAAGAACATTCTTGCTCACTGGAAATACATTTGAAAATTTTATTATTCGATTAATTTTCCTCCTTCTCTAAAATCTTTAATTTTTATTTTAATTTATTCATAAGCATTGCCATTTGTTTTCTTTGAACTTTATTGTAGATTGTTAATATCTCTTATTTTTTTATGAAAAAAATCAAAAGATAAAGAGGAAAGAAACTAGGTAGTAAGTAAATGAAATTTGGTATAAAATATTCATTACTGATAGAAGAAACTGAAGCCAGTGATAGAAAGAAATCGTGCTTCGAATTGATTCTACAGGTGCCGTGGTGATCACATTTTTCATCTGTTGGGCGCCGTTTCACGTTCAACGATTATTATATGTATATGAAGACTCAACGTACGATGACATAAATCAATGGGTATATCCGCTCACTGGTTGTCTTTACTACTTCAGTACGACTATTAATCCTATCTTATATAATGTGATGAGCGCGAAATATCGAAATGCTTTTAAAGAAACGTGTCGATGTTCGCCTAGCAATCCATCCATTACCAGAACTCGTCTAAGTAGCATGAAAGATTCGAGTATTATTTGTGGTGATAACAAAGGATCTCAGATTTTTCGTGGAAGAAGTGCAAATAGACAAAATAGTTGTAACATGTAAGTTAAATTTTAAATATAATTAAAAACATCTCCCTTGTTACTCGTTAATCTCGTATCTCTAAAATTTTCGTGAATTCCGAATTGTTTATTACATGAAAGTTCATAAACGAATTTAACTTTGGGAATTGTTCCCGAGGCAGATACAACGCATCGAGCTGCATGGAAAACAACTTACGAGGGGAAACGCAGCCAGACCATAGAGAAATGGAAAAGCGACAAAATGTACCTGCAAATGATTTGTTGACAGCGGAAAAGGACAACAACGAAATTGTAGCTGCACAGTTTTTAAATCAGTTAAAAAAATCATCGGTTTTGGTGCATACGAAAAACGGACGTCTCAAATATCAAGTGTCTGACAATGATACATCTACAAACGAGACACATATCTGATTGCTGAATCATAAAAAAAAGGTAAATATATTGTTAATTAAATAATTTCGAATGGTATAAATTATTAATTTCGGAATATTAACATGAAAATATCATTTATTTTAAACCTTTAAGACATCGGATTATTTTTTCAATCCATTAATCTCTGACTTATTTTGTCAAGAAAAATAATTCATACATTTCAAAGTTCTTGCACTAATTGAGATGTAACGAAAAAAATATGTGAATCGATATAATTGAAAAATATTACTTTGATATTCAAATTTCATTGTAATGTTTGGAAAAATGTATAATGGAACATAAGGTATAAATATATTATCTTCCAACAAATGTAACCTTAAAATATTTACGATACTAATATTAAGAATTATTAAATTTGATATTTCAGTCAAAAAAATTGATGAATCCTTATTACGATTAGTTAACATTTAAACCCATAATTTTTGAATAATATGAAAAAAATTTTTCAAAGGAAGTTATATAAAAATATGGACAAATTAATAATACGCATGTAGAATATAATTATATTACAATGATGAAAAATATTATGAACTTAATATAATATCGATTTGATTTCGGTGATTGTGTTAAATTTTTGTGTTAAATATTGTATATAGATTAATATACATGGTAAAATAGTAACTTTCTTTCGAATTATGTAACACAACATTATTAATATACTGTGGATATATATATACTACAATATATTAACTATGTATCTATTATGCATATAAACACATTTGATTAGATTGTAATATTTTATTGTTATATTATTATATTAAATACATTATTATATTTATATTATAGTTAATAATTTCAAAATCTTCTTAATTTAATTTTTTTTTGTCAATTCCCTTTTTTAATTTTGTGTATTTTGATTTGACATATATTTGCAGATAATATTTGACAATTCTAAGATTTGGATTAAAAAAAATTTCATTTTTTTATTTATAATTTTCTTTTATTATTATTCTTCATTTTAGAATTTGTAAAACAATTTGTAAAACATGCAGTTTTTTCAAGCAAATTAATGAAAAGCAAAAATCTTTATAAATATTTTCTCATTATGATATTTGATAGAAAATATATGATTAAATATATTATATACATATAATATATATCAATCAACAATCATATCAATATATCAATATATCAATCAACTTAAAATTTTTATAACTTTGTTATTAAGATTTACAGAATCAAAAATTTTATGATTAAAAAATTTTAATGAAAATCTTTGCAAAATTTAATTTACCTTGTTGAAATTAAGTGTTAAAATTAAGTATTAAAATATTATTTAATTGAATGTTAAAAATGAGAAGGAAAAAAAAAATAAATTTTCTTTTAAATATAAAACGTGTATTATCATTACTTTTATCTTTTTACCGAAAAACAATATAAATATTTTGCTATAATTCTTTTATTAACGCAATTACCTTATCACATTTTAATGAAAACTAATTTAAAGAATTTTTTTTTTATTTAGTATTTATTAATATTCATTAAATTTTATTAAAATATTAATTCTTTTTTTTAACGAATTTTTTTCGATATAGAAAATTTTAATTATTTATTTCGAAATTGAAACTTAATAAAACTTTTAATGAAATTCATAATTCAGTAATACTTAATATTATTTTAGCTCTGATTAAAATTTATTTCGATTTAATTTTGGTTACTTGTTTGAATTCTAATTTTTGCAATAGATGATTAACAATTTACGATATAAGAGATAATGATTAATAAAATAACATTATATTATTTAAAGAGATATTTTAAATGATTATGATAAATTATAATCAATGCGAATTATCCTATTTTCATTGAGTTTTCTATCATAAATGATTACGTCTTTCATATCACATAATATATCATTAGTATAGTATAGTATGTATTAGTATAGTATGATTTTGAGCAGCTAACCAACTTTTTAGAATTCATGAAAACAATCCAAAACTAATATCTGGATTTATTATCTAGATTGATGTCAAATCTTTTCTCAATGAAAAAATGATCATATCAATTTTATTTAGAGAATGCAATAATAAATGACAATTCATTTATAGAACTAATTTCATCGAAGAGATTTATTTTCAAAATTGTGACGGAACATTTTATTAATAAATTGAAAGATTCGATTTCAATCTTTAAGATTTATGTCGAAGATAGTTCGATATTTCGGTTATATATTTATGTTAATATGTTTCATAACAATTTTATTATTATACTCATAGTTATATTATGAGATCTAATATATATTTTTTGTATGTTTTATAATCATTTTTGAATTGAATTATGTCATATATATATCATTTCTTCGTTGAACATTCGGGGATATTAATCAATCATAACTATTAATTTTCTAAGAAATTATTAACTTTTTTCTATTTAATTAAGTAATTTAATGATGGTAATCACAAATATGATAGTAATTATATAATTTTCTTTCTTTAATTTTTTCTTAATTATTCATTATTATAAATATATATTCAATAATATATTGTAAATATAAAATTCAATATTTCGTTTAAGATTACAAAATAAAACTTATATGTTATTTTAAATAAAAATTTAATTTTAATTCCAACTATTATTAGTGCAATATTATTATAATTTTATGCTGAATATTTTATGTTAATATGAAAATAATATTAAAATGATAAAAAAGTTTATCATTTTTGATAATAATCGTAATTAATTTTAATAATTTAAATAATTTTTGATCGTAATATATATATATATTCATACGTATAAAATTAGATGCATTGAGTAGTAGATCTAGATTATAATTTATCTATGACATATATAATTCTTATAACATTCTAGTTCTTTTTGATGTTAATAGTTGGCTATACTGATATAAAATTTCAACGTACTTATTCAAATGTGAATAGTGAATAGTGACTGTTATTCTCAATTTTATAGTTATTTTAACATAATATATATATGCAAAATAAAATTTGAACAAAAAACTGCTTTATTTTATAATATAATAAAACTTTTAAACTGATTATTATATTATTTATTTACATTTTTATAAATGTATATGATAACTTTAATTTCACTCACCAATTTCACTATTTGTTTTTGTTTACACTTATGTTTTTTATTCATATGAGAGTATTTTAAACAGCGTATAAAAATGTAATAAAATATTTAGAGTATTTAGATTGTTCATTAAAAAAAGTATGCCTAATTATAGTAAGTATTTAATTTTATATAAATATATATGTATATATTTTGTATATAAACTTAAATTTTTTTTGATAATTTTAATAGGAAATGAATCTTGTAGCAAATATAAAGTGCAATTTGAAGACTGTAATAAAAATGACATTTAAATGATATAAAGATGGAATCTAATATAAAAATGACAGAATCTTTTCTTGATTCTCAAAATTTTTGTTTAAAATTGTCACAAGATTCTAATATATCTGATACTCAAAATATTAATGATGCAGATATAATAATAATGAGTGACTCCAGTTCTAAATCAACTTGTTCTATACCTAAATATGTCTTAGGATCAACATCAAATAATCATCCTACAATAGATAATACTATTTATATTGAAGATTCTTCAGATTCTGATTCTATAGACATTACAAATGAAAAATATTTTCAATCTTGGAGAGCAAATAAAAAATCCTATTTTATTAATAATTTTCAAGAAAGAAAAGATATTATAAAAAAAAATAATACATTGTATATGTCTGATGATTTTTCATCTAGTAGTAGTGGACAAGAATATACAACAACTTCTAAAAGAACAAATAATAGTTATATCACTTGTACAAGAAAAAATAGAATTAATGATATATCAGAAACAAATATTCAATGCAATACTAATACTACTGATATTAGTAATTTGAAAAATTTTAATAGTATTACTCAACCACCTAAAACCATACCTCATATTAATAGTGATTTAAAAAAAAAATTTCAAAAGAAGATACTAAAAATATTATAAAAAATATAAAATCTACACGAATAATATATGAATCACCTAAAATTCAAAAAGAAAAAAATGTAATATCTAATAAGGAAATAGATAATAATATTATACATCCTGCTATTTCACCTAAAAATAATTTAAAAACAAATGATATATTTATTAATGAAACTCAAATAGATTCTGAAAGTGATATTATTCAAGATTCTCAAGTGAATCTTACACATTCTTATAAAACTCGTGTTAATAAATTTTTAAATACACCATGTATAAAAAAAGATACAACATCTATTAAACTATCAGAAAGAAAAAGAAAACAAATTTCACAATGGCTTATGACAAATTTACCTGATTCTCAAAGTGATAGTTCACTTGATATTGTGCCTCTTACTAATAAACATGATAAAAGTTCTGGAAATAGCAGTTTAGAAAGATTAGAAATGAATTATGAAACTCCAAACAATAGGGGAAAAATAAATCAATTACCTATAAGTGAAAGTAAAATTATAAATTCAAAATGCAATAAAACATCTAATCCTACAATATTACATCAAACTATAATAAATGAATTTGTTCAAAAAACAAAAAATAATGAACTCCATACATCACATGAAACTCATACTAATAATAATAAATTTTCAACTCCAATAAATACTTCAACAAATACATCCCAAAATATAGATATCAAGGATTGTGCAGATATATTAGATAAATTATATGGTAAATCTTGGCGTAATAAGGCTGATATATTGTTTCCAAAATCTGAATCAAGAGTGATTAATACAATTAAACAAGCAACTATTACAAAAAATAGAGCTGTTCAAACTGAAAGGTAATTACAATTATTATACTATAATTATATATTAATAATAAATAAGATTTATAAATTTATTGTTACAGAAAGATAATAAATAGAGAAAGATTGTATATATCAGATTCAGACAGTTCTAACACATGTAAGTAATTATATTGTAGATGGTTATATTCATTAAATTATATTTTACACTTATTTTAAGAAGATAATTTTAATAATTTTTTAAATACAATTTATAGCTTTAAAGGATTTAAAATTACAAAATCGATCAAAAAAGAAAAATGTACGAAAAAATATAAAACGAAAAGATGATACTTTTATAAATGATCAAACATCATCAGAAAGTGAAAATGAAAGTTTATATTATACTGCATTAACAAATCCAAGAGAATCACAAAATAGTACACAATCAAAAACAGTACTTCCATCGATTGTACAGCGGTAATAAATGATTTAAAAACAGTTTATAATAAAAAAATTTTTTTTAATGTTTTATTTTATTTTATTTTTCAGAGCTATTAGAATATGTGATACAGATTCTGAAGATAATGATAATATAGATAACAATAATCAAATATTTAATAATATAAGAGGAAGAAAATTATCATTCAATGAAAGTGAAGATTCAAGTACTAGTGAATTTGATCCTGGTGATGAAATACCACCAAAATCTACAATTAAGAAAGGTATATATATATATATATATATATATATTACTTATATAACAAATATAATATATTATATGCTTAAACTATGATTATATGAAGATTTATATAGATTATATATATTTTTAGATTTTATTAAAACTGTACAAATACCTAAATTAAAGACACAAAATAAATTAACTTCTGACATTCCAAATTATAAAAAACATAACAGCTTCTTAGCATCTTTGAGTGAAAATGTTTCCCTTACTAATATACATCCAGATGCTAAGAAATATAGATTAGATTATAAAAATAATAAAGAAAATTTATGTAAATACTTGTATAAACTATATAATGAAAAAGTATTTGATAATGAATTACCAGAAGATATGTCAATAGAATGGAATGTTCGTATGAGAGGAACTGCTGGTTTTTGTTATAATAAGAAATCAGTAAAAACACTTGGTGGTATTGTAAAATCATCACGAATAGTTCTAGCAACAAAGGTATATTTATATATTTTTTAAATACAATTGCTAAAATATGCATTAAAAAAATTATATATAGATTTTAGATACTCCAGATAGACTTAGAGATACTTTAATTCATGAAATGTGCCATGCAGCTGCATGGTTAATAAATGGAATCTCTGATGGACATGGTCCATTTTGGACAAAATGGTATATTATTTAATAAGTATTTATTATTTTTGTTTTTATTTAACAATTATTTTAATTAGCATTTTTTAGGGCTAGTAAAGCTATGAAAATATTTCCTGAATTACCACCAATAAGAAGATGTCATGATTACAAAATTAAGACTAAATTTACATATAAATGTATAAATTGTGGATACAGGTACATATATGTATATATATATACATACATATACATAAACAACTTTAAAATATATATTGACTTAATTTTTTAAACTTTATAGTATTGGAAGACATTCTAAATCTCTGGATATTGAAAAGAAACGATGTGGACATTGCTATGGAAAATTTGAGTTATTATTAAATAAGACAACAAAATCTGGAACTGTACAAATGCAAACACCAAAAAGAGAACCTTCAGCATTTGCACTTTACGTGAAAGAAAATTATAATTCTGTAAAAAAAGAACGTAATATAGGACATGGTGCAGTAATGAAACTTTTAGGTCAGCAATTTTCAGCAATTAAAATTGCGAAGAAACAAGAAAATATTGAAAATAATCCAAATATTATTAATTAAATAAGTTAATTAAAATTATATTTTTTAAAATTTTATTATTTTATTTAGAGATTATGTATTTCAGATACTTTGACTATTCATATTTTATGATTATTTTATAATTTATATAACTGACATGATTTTACCATTGCAGGCATTGGAATGTAAATTATGAAACGAAATGTTTATTATAGACAGGATAAATAATATTTGTAATCATAATTTAGTATAATTAGATTATATAGACGTAATTGCGATTTATCAATTTGTAATTGAAATTTTATAATAAATGATATATACAATTATCATACCTTTATTTTAATTAATAGAGATATAATCCATATAGAGAATGATTAAATTATCTTATACTTTAATAAAAATTGCATATTGTTACAATAATATATATTAATGCGTAAAATTGATTAATTAGTTTTAATTTCCAATTTATTGAAATAATTGAACTTGTTTTCACATAAAATATTGCGACTATTTAATGAAAACGTACCTTAAGACTACTTGCATTTCACACGCATGCGTTAAATTCACGGTGTGGCGGCGGCATCAACAGCGCACTCTAAAAACAGTCGAGCCGAAGATGGCGACGTGCGAGTGGCGGTGTCGGTGCGGTGTTTAAGAGAGAGGACCATGTTGTTACCGCAGTGTTCGCAGTGTTTCCATAATCCGCGTTGAGTTCGGTGCAAATGTAGGAATGTCAGAAGCTAAAAGGGTACCTTTGCAGACCTTGGAGTTTCCGGAGTCCTTGGGCTACGCCACAAAAAAGGAGAAAAAAGGGGAAAAGGGCAAACAGCTCGCGCCCTCCTTCCGCTTTACACTTACCCTGCCAGAGTCGAACGAGAAGGCATGTCCTGAGTTCAACTATGCACAACTCCTCAAAGCAGCCGAGGTCAGTTCTTCCTTTCACTCGTTAATCTATCGAACAGAAAATGAAACCTATGATACCTATCCATACGGTCACGTTTACTAACACATTTAGTTTGATACAAACACCGGTTATGATTTCATTTTATATACACACTTTGACAAGAAACTGCAAAAATGCCAATGGAATCGCCCATTTTCAGAGTACATGAAACGAAGAGAGCTTGTATCCGTTATTCAAGTGAATTGACATGTCGCAGCTACTGCGCGAATTCTTACAATCTTATAATATATATTTTTCTTATATATGTATATTTTTTGCTAGAATATATTGATATTATATTAAAATTCATAAAAAAAGTATGATCAATTCGAAGCCATCGAATAGAAACGTCACAACGCATTACCGGTGGACGTTCGTGTTAACGTATGTTAACATTGCTACCATGAAATACCGTATGTTTGATGTTTCATTTTAAACATGATTATGAACGAGTGTTTAATATTCGTTTTCATGACAATCATTATTCTATATATGTAAAAAATAATAGATTTACTAGAATATGTTAATACTATTTGAAATTAGAAATTCATTAAAATGGTATACATTTTACTTTAAAAACATCTTTATCAAATATATAATATTTTCATTAATATTTTTTTATTTTTGTAAATAACAATTTAATCTGTATCTTATCTAAAAGATCTTATATATACATATATATATATATATATATATATGTAGAATCATTATTACTTTTGAGATCGATGCATTAAGAGAGAACGTGATTGTCGATATGTGTGAAACACATTGCATTTAAATTAAATGAATATTATAAAATACACTTATTCGACTACATCATTTTCTTTATTTTTATATCATATTTACATATTTATTTCTATCACTTATATTATCTTTTTTTAATATCTATTAAAACATATAAATTATTTACATTATTCTAAAAAAAGGGAAAACTAGCTCGATTTAAATTAAAAAAATTTAATTAGTTCAAAATGATTCTCATTTCAATCATAATTTTTTAAGATTTTATGCAAAAAATTTTTCGTAAAAAAGTTACACGTTATAATTTTCATATTTACAATAAAATATGAAAGTGACAATTTTTATTTTTATATGATATTTATTATATATATAAGAAGAACTTTTTTAAAATTTGCATTTTAAATTTGCATATTATGTAAATGTATTAAATTTTATATGTATTATACTTTTTATGAAAAAAATTATATTTTTCATCTATATTATAATATCATATATAAAATAAAATTATTTTATATAAAAAAAAACAATACATATTATTATTATATCAATTTATTTTGTATTATTAAATTTTTGTAATAATTTTTTTTTAATAATCATATATATAATTATAAAAATTTAATATATAGTATATTTGAAATAAGATTATTAATTGAGATATAATTTACATATATATATAGTTTTAATTTATTGATAATTATATTTTTGTTACGATCAATCACACGTGGTAGCGTCTCTCATATTAGGAGAGTAGAAGATAACAAGGAGTTACGCGGCCCAAAAGAAAGAACAGTAGTGACAATCTGCATATAGTATGTGCTCCTGATATGAATGAACAGTTTATGCTCTCTTTCGAATCAATTCATCTTTCTTTTTTTGTATTCATATTTCTGAATATTAGTTATCTAATTATATATATTTTATATATAGTATATATTATATATTATATATTATTATATTATATATCAATATTTAATTGATGAAATAATTTTTTGTTTAAATGCTTATCAACAAATAAGTTGTAAAAATATTAATTTATTTTTATGATATAATTAAATTTATAAATCTAATACATCGAAATATTATAAATGATAAATTTATAAAATATTAAAAATTTATAAAATGTATATGCAAAATTTTTTAATAAAATACTAAAATTTTTATTAAAATATTAAATGAAGTTGAAGCTAGATTTATAATTTTTTATGAACATTAAAAATTGATATTTAAATAATATTACAATCACAATTTATTTATTATATTCAGTATAATAAAAATATTTTTTTTTTTATTTTATAGAAAAAACGTAGGAAAGAATTGAAACGGGGAGATGAAAATGCAAGTAATGGATTATCTTTTGATGATGATGATGATGATGATAAACTTCGAGATATGGCAAGACGGTTTGAAGCGAAATATGTATGTAAAACGTAATTTTTTAAAAATTATAATAATTCCAATATGTATCGAATTATGAAAATTTATTCTCATTATCCATGGAAAACTTAAATTTTGCAGGGAACTTCTACTATGGGCAGGAAAAGACATAAATATGATGATTATGTGGATTTGGGAGCTGGATATGATGAAAATGATTCTTTTATCGACAATACCGATGCAGTGTGTAACATATTTAAATATTATTGTTATTTAATATATATTTAGCATTATATTAGTCATTTAATGATTTTAGTATGATGAAATTGTACCAGAAGAGATGACCACAGCACATGGAGGATTTTATATTAATTGTGGAGCTCTTGAATTTCGGACAACAGATCGGCATTTATTGGTTCATAATAATAACAATAATAATAATAATAATCAAAGCAATGACGACGAAAGTAGCGAAAGTAGTGAAGAAGATACAGAGGATGTGGATAGTCCAAAAAGATCAGAAAAACGAAATCTTAGTTCATCAGATGAAGATGATACTGAAGATATTACTGGTGATCAACCAAGAAATAAAGTAATTGAAGTTATAATATAATATTATTATTTTTATTGTAATAGTATATTAAATATTTTTATTTTTTTTTATCTTTTTAGAACAAAAGATAGATGAAAATGGTGAAAAGAAACAGAATCATGAAAATATTATTAAAAAGAAGAAGAAACAACAAAATTCTCAAGATCAGCAAAATTTTCAACAAGATAGAGATACTTTAAACAGACGGAAAGAAAAAGGAGAAACTACAGATGCTGAAGGTAATATACTCATATAACATTATAGTATAATAACATGTTATAACATATTCATTTTTATAATAATATAATATATAATTTTCAGTTTCAGAAGATCAAGAAGATAAAAAGAAATCTGATAAAATAGATACACAAAAAAATAAAAATACATCAGATAAAAAATTTGATATAAAAAAATTTGAAAAAAAGACATCAAATAGTAATGGTTATGATACAAAAAAATTAGAGCTAAAAAAATTAGGTGGTAAAGATAGTAACATTGATGATGCAATAGAAAGTGTAGTTAATGCTGCAAGAGTTGAAGATGAGTCAAGTAGAGATACAACAGATTCCGGTAAATCTCGATGTATAGGTACAGAATCAGAATGCGATGATATTGATAAAGAAGAAGCACCATTACCTGATTCTCTTCCAGAAAACATTGTAGAAATAGTTAATAAGTTAAAGGCATGTGCTGAAAACAATAAAGAAGGAAAAGCTAAATTTTTTAATGCAGCAGTAAATGCATTATTGTTGAGGTAAGAGGATTGAAATATAATATTTCAATCTTTAAAAAAATAAGTTTCAGAATTTTCGTTTCAGTTTAGAGAAAAAATTGAGGGCACTTCCCTCTTCGAGTTTAAGATTAGAAACATATGGTCATCTCGCACGATTTTTACCATGTAGTAAAGTAGCACTTCAAAATAGAGCAAAGAATTATTTGTGCAGGATGTAGATTATAAGACTAGAGATCTTATAAAAAGGTAATTTTATATGCATATATTAGAAACTTGATTTATGTACATTTTTTTATGATTTTATTTATATTTTGTTTAATAATTATTAATGTGAATATTATTGTAGGCTAAAAACAGTAATTGATGAAATAATGCCATCTGTAGTATGCAAATATGTAGATGAGTGTCAAAAAGTGGCTGAAGGAAAGTAAGTATTCTTTATAAATATTTCTTATTGATAATAAAGAAAAAAATTAATAAATTTATAAAAAAAATTAGAATTAATAAAATTTTTGTGTGATTTTAAAATATAAACTAAATATTTATGTAATCTTGAATGGGAACTTACGTAATAATCTTTTATTTCTTAGTCCTCATTTATACTGGGATATATACCGGTACTGTTGGTAAGGTGCCCCTCGTAAGAGGAAACCTTTTCTATTTTTATCTTTCTGATTATTATCTTTTTTTCTTTGATCTTTTCTAGTTTCTCTTTCTTTATTCATGCTTATATATATGTTATCTCTTTCTCAATATTTCTTATTTTTGAAGAAATAGTTCTTATGTTGATAGTTCTAAATTAAAAAAATTTTTTTACTATTATTGAGATAGCAAAAATGCGGGGCTTATCATCAGTATCAGTGTTTAATTTATCATAAATATCATCCTTTTTGTCAAACAATAAAATTAAGTTTATTGAAAATTTAATAATCACACATTCACT